GAAGGTGTCTCATCTTTCTTGTTACTTTTTTCATTTGCTTCTATCACGCCTTTCACACAGCATCGATCACTAGTTGAGTTTACACCTTACCCTTCTACAGATTCATTCACATCGAAATAGTGTCTTGGAGATCAATCAAAACCATCCCATCATGTACTGATAACTGATTTGAAAAGGCAGTTTGTAAATTTGAGTTCATCAGTTTTTTAGGCGCATTAGTAATATGCCAAGGGGGGATATTAAAGTACCACAATAATTATTGGCTCAAATGTTTTACCCTGGCATTGGTGAGCTTATTTTTTACTCTATGCCGTATCAAGAGAGAAAGGATTGTCGTATTGTTTTACTCACCGTTGCACATTGTGCATTTTCTAAAACTTGTATTTTTTAAAGGAACATTTTGACGAAATCAACGCCATCCTCGAAGAATTCTTCAACATGGTCAAACAACTGCGCAAGTTTGCAGCGACCAACATGATAACTAAGGTGGAGAAGCGAGACTCCGAGACCACTCTGAAAGCCCTCTCCGCGGAGGCGGAGTTCCATTGGGTTTTGAAAAATCAAGTTGGACGACTGGCTCTAGAACTTGCTGACTTTTGCGAGTCTCACGCCAAACTTCTCGAGGGCGATGCTGTCCTTTGTCGTAGAGCTGTTGACATCTTCAGGACTATGCCCAGTCCTAATATTTAACATCATTGTACTTCTTGCTTTGCCGTTTCCACCTGTAGTTTTCACGCGGGGGGTGAGGCTGCGTGTTATTGCCGGGGTGTGTTCCGTGGAGTTGGGTGCGCGTTCTGGCGTGCTGGTGTGGCAGGTGGGGTGTTGTGGGAATTTGGGTGAATTCATGAGGGGATGCAGGTGGATATCGCATTCTGAATTCTATTTTGATTTGGCATGCAGGGCAGGGTCTGATTTATTGGGTCTCGAGATTGTGATGTCCGCGGGGGGTGCTTACTGTAAGGGTCGAGGACAAATTTGCATTGCAAGTAAATAAGTAGTCAAACATTCCGGGATTGTTAGTGCAGGTGAAATGCCTGCCGTTGTGTAAGTCGCATTAGTTCAGAAGTTTCAAAGATTCCACACCATTAGCCAGTTCACAAACTTTAGCCCTCAGTTGCCATTTTAAAACAAGAACTTTTGAATTAAAGGTTTAATAATGCCAAAGATTCTTGGCGAAATTCAAGTTTAAGCAAATCGCAGCATGTTTAGTTTAGTTAACAGTGGTGCGTAGTGCCGGCCGCGCTATTCGAGATTTACCCTACAGCTTTGTTCGTGGGTCATCGTGGGGTTGTTTCATATGTTTAGCTAATTATTTGTTTGATTGTAGTCTTCAACCCAGGTCTCTTGTTTTCGTCTTTAGATTTTATCAATGCATTAACATGCGCGAAGAAAAGCGACGGCGTGCGCGTGATGAGGAGTGTAAGTCATAGCTACAGGTCATTAGTTTTCATACCTGTGCATATAATTCTGTATATATGGGCTGCCTGTAAACACTGGCATATCTTTTCGAATAATTGGGTACTTAGTTTGTGTCTACATTTGGCCTACTTTTTCACACACCTGTAGTCTAGATGCCCAGTTTTATCATGTGTTAATAAGTTTACAAGATTACTTATTTTTGAAATAAAGGAACTCCCATATTCCTACTGTATTATTGTGTAATTATTTGCATTTTGGCATCAAGAACAGCATTTATGGACAGCAGTGTGAATTCCGATAGGGTGTTTGAACGGTATCGACAGAATTGATTTCATCATTTCTATCCATTGACGACTGATGATTTCCAACCGTCCTTATCTGGTATGTAGCCTTCCAAAATGGGGAATTCTAGGGTTCGTTATAAGAGTGACCAGTTTTCCCATAATTATGGATTAGTTCTTGTTGTGGAGAGTAAGTAGACGTACGGTAGTGGATACTACCCAATTTGATCACCGTTTTAACGATACTGTTGATAATGCTTCCAGTTTCTGCAGCCAAAAAGAGACGTGATAACTCCCCCAGTGCTCATCACGCTACTTCGGGTGCATCTACGTCCAAATCAAGAGGCCATATACCGGTGTCGGAACGTCAGCAGTTTGCACTTTTAAAATTAATGGAGACAAGAACTTCTCCATCAGATCGTGGTATGCCATGCCCTTTCTTGAAAACGGCACAATGATTTATTTAAGATGGTTTCTCAGGGGCTGCTATGCAGTTAGCTTTGCTTTATCGGTTCGTTAAATTTGTTACATGGATGCATAACATTTGTATATGCATGGGTAAATGCCTTTTTCGCATATATTTTGACCAAGCCCCACTGATACACTATTTCATCCCAGATTGCTCTATCGCTCTTTTTTATTCGCTGTTGTCACTAGCGATTGTGTTTGGAAGCGTTCCAGTGTTTTTAAAACATCTGTACTTCTATTGAAGTAGAGACTGTATATATGTGGCTAAATAAGCATTCTTAAAATAAATTTGACTGGTTTGAAATGCTCTGTATTTGTTTTGGAGGCATCGTGTAAGATAAGCATACATCGGGATCCTTGTTACTTTACAAAAAGGGGCGAAACAAGTCTGGGAGGGTCAAGAGCCCAAGGTCTGTGAGTCAGAGAGGCCTCCCCCTGCCCCTCCGCCACCAGCCACCAAGGGACAGCCAGCTGCTACTCTGACTGCCACCACTACCACTGATGGCTCTACGCCAGGCCGGTATAGCAGCCCATACCAGGAGTCCGGTCATCAGGTTGATAGGTCAAAGGGCATCCACAACCATTCCCATTGCCACCATGGCCACGGTCACTCCTCGTCGTCATCCTCGTCCCACCATTCCGGTTCTCGAAAGTCCTCTCAGCAGCAGCATCGTAGTGGGGGCTCTGAATCGCCGCTCATGCGAGTCTCCAAAAAGGGCGACCTTCTGACGCTTAAAATGATGGTGAAAGAGGGTGCCGACGTGAATGAGCAAGACGCCAACGGTGAGTTTTCCGAAGACTGACTACTGTCTTTCTGTAGTATCAATGGTTATGTTGAAGCCTAAGGCTTTACATGCATTCATAGACCAGCTTGTTTTCATGTCTCATGAGCGAAAAGCAAATTCTAGTTTATTGTGTTTGGTTGGTTGTTGCGCTGAATTTTTCTCTGCTCCGAAATTTGTATATTGGTTCATCCTAAACGTTGCGAATCTAGTTTATCTTCACCTGAACAAATTGGCTGTCCCTTCCTCGACTCGATGCTTCTAAGATTTGGTTTAGTTGGACGTTTAATATTAGATAAAGTAGGGCAACGGGATTTTGTTACGCTTTACTTAACATTGCTTCGGAGCTGGTTATTTCGTAAATAAATACCTAGTTTTGTTTTTCACGTATGCTTAAGCTCCTTACGTCATTCGACCTCACCAACTTTCATCTACACATTTACAATGCTTATAGTTCAAATCCATTCGATCCTAGGGGCTTTATACAATGACACAAAGGAACTTATGGTTCAGCGTGTATCTGATATGTCTTAGGTCGGACGGCGCTCCATGAAAGCAGTTTGCAAAATTTTCTGCATGTTGTGAGCTACCTCCTGAAGCACAATGCGAACCCCAACGTGCAGGCCGTGCCTCGCAGTGGTGGCGGTACAGGAACTGGTGACACACCACTGCATGAGGCTACTCGTGAGGGTCACATCCGTATAATTCGGGCGCTGTTGCGCTATGGCGCCGATCCAAAAATCTGCAACAATAATGGTGATCGACCCACTGATCTTTGCCCCAACGAGGCTAGCCAGCTCGTCTTCAAGCAGGTAGGCATTCCATCCGAATCCTTTTTCATAAACATCAGGTCCTGTATTTCATCGATTCGGAACAACGGGGTTGTGATATTACAGTAGAATGTCTTTTTGCAGCTGTTCACAGTCATTCACGTGAAGTTAATGAAAACCCTATCAACTAATTGAATAGGAGTGTTTTGACCTGGATATACTTCCCATAGATGTTTGCATTAAACAACCTTGAACATTGATATGGAGATGCCTTATGATGCCATTCCTTCTTAGCAAACATCTGACTTTGTGCATAGGTTTTTCAATCTAAAAAATGCAATATTTATTGGATCTACTTTGCTTTATTTTTTGCATTTTTGATATACATATATCCGCAATATCCATATCTCTTTGAAGCCATTCTCGTTTCCTTTTAGAGTAATCAGTCTCGTGACTACCCGGTCATCACAAACACACCGGCTGCGTCATCCGTCCAGGTGAAGAAGGCCTCTATCACATCCACATCAAAGTCTCCACCGCCACCGCCTTCGGAAGGTCACCATCAGGTTCGAAGTTCCTTTGTAGAGGAACAGGGTGGCAGTGGTGGCGGTAGTTGTACCAAACGACGAGGTAGTCCCGACCTCTCGAGCCCAAGCCCAGCCTGTGGTCAGAGGCAACAACACCGTGCGTCAAACTCACCTCATGCGCATTCACACCATCACTATCACAGACACCACTCACCTAGTACTGTACGCAGAAACACTGTTTCCGGGCCTGCTTCATCTGTAGGACCCCTCAGTGGTGAATTCATCGGCTGCACTCATCAAATTTCCAGACTGAGTACGATTCGACCACTCCTTCTCCCCCACAAACCTCCGTTGTCTCCAACCCTCTTTTAAGCTTTTACCTATTTCTTGCCCTATGCGTCTGAAAACGTGCGTGAAATCTGATCCACCAACTTTTTGTGCCACTCATAGCCACCAAAAAGGACCCCTATGCCTTTGACGACGAGGAGGTGGAAACTACGTCGCAGCCAAACGAGGTGAATGTCGCTCAGGCGTCGACAAATGCTGCGGCCACCACCTCTTCTTCACCGCTACAGCCACATCGCTTCAACACAACATTTGTGCCGACTGGTACTACCACCGTGGCCACTGTCATCTCCTCTTCCCTCCATATTAACACGGCCCTGGGGGATACCCTTCATTCGGCTTCGTCCTCTGCCTCACCGAATGCAACTGTTAGTGGTGGGGTCGCCGGAGGACCGCCACTGAAACTCCGTTTTGCTATGGAGGCCGGCCACTACACCGTTATGGAAAATCAGGAAAATCCATCAGAACAGGCAGCTGTCGTCGTCACTTCCTCTACTGCTGTCACTGCTGCCGTGCCTGCTGCCGCGTCTACAATAATTGATGTACCACCCGTACAGGAGGGGGTGGTGATCACCAAAGCAGAGGAGTTGAACCAAAGCTCGTCCATGGATGCAAATTTCAGGATGGAATCTGTAGAACGGGCAAGTTTTAGCACAGGATTAGTTTTCTTATCTGAGGTCTAGGTCAGGAGCTAATTACCCTGTCTCTATATTAAGTGGATTGATGCATTCTACTGCTATCGGATAAACTAAGAATCTTTCGCTGGTCATAATTAAAATGGCATTAATTAATGAATGCGGAGTTGTGTAACGGGAATCCCTATTTTTTAGAATCTGTCAGTTTCGTTGGAGGAGACGGTTGATCGCGATAGCGACAGTGGGCGATCGCCGAAGGTGCCTCCCTTGCGCATTAAGCTGGGCAACAGTACGCCTCCGCCCTCCTATTCGCACCTTTTATCGTCACTTCCCTCTGAATTGGCTCAAAACGAAAGTAGTGCATCTAATAGTGGAGATACTGCAAAGGAGCCGACCCTGGGGGGCGAGAGGAAACAGGATATTGATGACGATACTTCGACTGCTGTGCCGCAGTTGAAGCCAAAGTCAGAGACGTCCAGCGAGTTGGCGGAGGGGAAAGAGGGGGGAGATGTACAGGATGGCAATGAAGTACCGAAAGTTGAACAGGAAGGAATCTCACTTGCAGTCACGGAAGACGATGAGGAAAAGAAGTTGGCGGATGCAATCCCTACTTCAACATCGCATCAGACAAAACGCGGAACCGGTGGTGGTGGAAAAGTGGTCAAAGTTGCTTCTTCAAGTGATTCAACCTCTTTGAAAAGACATGCTGCTCCAGAGTCGGGCGAAGTCAAGTTGAAGGACATGAGTGAGGTGCTTTGGACTCTTCGATTCATTTATTTTTTTAAATTTCCAATTAACGTTTTTTTTATCCTTGAAACACCTTCATCATATAATTTCCATGTTTAAACTGTGCTAGACTTATTGTTATTTGTGACTAAATGTTGACAATGGTGGTGTTATATGTATATTCTTGGTAAAAGTAAACGGCGCGGAGCCGTTTGAGTAAATTCTCGGTTGAATTTTCCCATTTTTAGCGTAATATAATAGAAAATATACTTGAAGTGCAATTTTTTTGAATTCCTCATGTTGCTAATAACTTGCAACCTCCATTTTGCAATTGGTGTCAGTGTTGCTTAAGAAAAAAAGGATTTGTGGGGACTTGGCATCACGTTGCGCCACTTTGGGCTGTTCGGAGTCGCCTGGGAATTAGGCACTTCTGTAATCGCTGCGGTTGACCCATGCCTGTGGTCTTTCTTAAAGACGAAGGTGGATGATACGTTTAAAGCTCGGAGCTTCCGGACACTTCGCTCACATACAGCAGCACAGCGCGAAAAAGAAGAACGTGAAAAAAATTGTGAGTATATCTGTTTGAATGTGATGTTGGCATAGTGCATAATTGAGTCCCAGCATGACGATCGCTTACGTATCGTAATGATTAGCTAATGGAACTCATGTGCAACCACTTATTGCCTGAGTTGGCTTTCATAGCTCAAATGTAAGATTCTATCATGAGTGAAATTTTTTCGTTTTAAACATTGAGTTAGACTAACCACATAATTAACTATATAGCTGACGTGGCACCTCTGAAGAAGCGCAAATACCGCTCGAAGGGAAGCAACGGTGGCAGTAGCGCGGAGGGTGGCGGTGGCGGTGAAGCCGACGCTGGCAAGTCGACGGACCACGAGGACGCGGGTATTGCGAACGAGGCGTCGTCCCTACCCTCCAGCTCCACCAATGAGGACACCGCGATACCAGGGACGGCTGAGGAAGAGGTCCAGAGCCCTTCTAGCGAGGCAATCACCGCCTCTTCTTCCTGTGGTCAAGATCAGTCCTCTAAACCTGCACGCGTTTTTGATGACCCTAACAAACCCAGTGCTGTGGGCTGGGGTGAGAATCCTTATGAAAAGGCCTCAGAACTCAATCGTGGGGTACTTCTTACAGTATTGTCTCATTACCATAACCTCCCAGATATATAAGTGAAATTAATCTATAGTAAGTTAGAATTGTAAATCGAGGGTTCCCATGTGACGGAGTGCCAAGTCGCACATCCACTCTACCTTTAACTACCAAGCGACGATCACCATATTGGCAGTTTCATCAGGTCCATTTGAATTTGATAGATGTTTACATAAGTGGCTGAAGCATGATTCTCATTCCTTTAACGCACAACCAGGGCCTCAAAGGAAAATCAACCATTACGGCTCAGCCGTTTTTTGGTCTAGTAAGACACCGACCGCCATTCATTTATTAATTCAAGTGCTACTTTAAAACTAAAAATGTTATCATCTTCTGATCAAGAGCACTCTGCATTTATTTTAATCTCAACCAGTTCGTTTGCGACACGATTAGGTGTAACCATTCACCGTAAATTGGTCGGGAACACATCGCGTATGTGACACCCGGCCCGGATAAGAAAACTTCGTAGCAAACGTATTTAATGAGTAACTGTCTTCAGCTCTCCGAATTGATGGGGAAGCTGGTGGAATTACAACCAAAGGAGCCAACGGGCTACCAAGACTACCTTCTTGTAACTCGGGACTACCTCCTTGCTGGCAATATTCCTCACCTTATTATTCGAGTAAGACGTCTATCTGCTTCTGATTCCCGTTCAAATTCTCCCAAGTACCGTGCCTCAATTAGGTACAACGTCATTTTTTACCTTTTGTGTTGAAAGTCGAAATGCACTGTGTGCGTGCTCGCCCAAGCCGAACCTTTTCATATCAACGTTTCTTTGTTCCTAGCGCCAATGCCCTCCTGAACTTCCTCAAGCACTGATCGAGTTATTTGAAGAACAGGAGGATGAGCGTCACACACAAGCACTCAAGCACCAGTCGGAAAGGGTATGCGCCTTCGATTTATGATTTAAGTTTTCAATTAAAATCCTTACACGACACCCCACCTGAATGATGTTAGCATTTGTGTTTGAAAAGAACATGTCATATCAGAAATAGGTTAGATATCCGCCTAGGATCTCTAAGGTGAGCCCTGTTCTTGCGCGAAAATAAGTTTCCAAAATTCCCGGTTAGCAAAACTATCATCACAGACTGGGGTGCTGGTGTCAATCTGTCCCCATAGATCTATGTGCGGCTTTTTCTGCAGGAACAGCTTCGACTGTGTGCCGAGCAGTCCGTGCTTAGGGCCCAGACAAGAGCCACGATTGCCTTAGCCAACCAGCCCCGACCCCTTTCCTTCTGCTCTGTAATGGCACTCAAGGGATTCACCTACCTGCCTGCCTTCAAAGACCCTGAGCATCGAGTGCGTAGCGCTTTGAAGTGTAGTCCGTTCCCTTAATCACCTTCAATGCTGCCTGTGACCCTGGATTTCGAAGGCTTACTTTTTCACTGTTACTTGTTTGAATAAACGAAAGGGCAAATCGACGAATTGAACTATCCTCTTTTCCCTGATCCAGGATGAGGAAAGTGTGAGGGATCGTTTCAAGGCCCGAACTTTAATCGGTTGGCTCCAAGACATAAAGGACAACTTCCATATGGAAAAGGTAGTCTTATTTTTAATGGATTCACATCGTGCTACATTGTTTACATGTTAAAAAAGTGATAGTGACTTGACTGGGCTAGCTATTCGCATTGATAATTGCTTCATGCGTTGCTGAATGTCTGCGCAGAGTTGTTGCTTCCTAATGTTTGTCTTTTGCAACTTGTATGGGTTTACTGCAGAAGAAGCTTCTTTGCCGCCAATTACACGAGGCTGAGTCACTAATGATGGTGCAGAAATTGGATTGGGAGGTGAAACTGAAGGAGCTGCATCTGTATGACCATCGAATGAACATCTTTGACCAAATACCCAGTCAGCACGTACCTCTCATCGGCGTGCCAAGTGACTTTCCTCTGTTCGTGCATGACCCCATCCAACGCCCTTCCTAATATCCACCTCTACCACCTGACCCTTAGAAAAACACGCCTACAATAATTGTTTTCTGACTTGATTGACCGCTTCTTATGTATACTTTATACTCATCCGAACATCCCAAATACATGCATATTCAATCAAATCACGCCTATAGTGTTAACGAGAGTGCGAATCCACCCTGACAACAACCGTCGATCTCAATTTTCGGGAAGTACAAATATAAGGTCTGAAGCTCATCGACTTTGTCAAATGAACGGCAACCGAACTGCCAACAGCGTTTATTCTTGATTTCCTCCGAGGGAGGAAATTCTAAAAAATTGCTCTGTCACCTACTTTAAAGGGACTACGAAGTTTGTGTAAAAAGGTTGATGGAAGCGTCCAGTGTATTAGCATAAAAGAAAAGGCAAAGGAGAAGGACGCAACTACAAGTCGAAATCTGTGTCAATATTGGCGAAAGTCCAACCCTCAGGAGCTAGGTTTTGAAAATTCAAAAAATCGTTCTGAGCTCTGAGTTTGGCACGTTTCGGTGAGAGGTAGTCGTTTTCAGCGCCACTAATCAACTCCGTCTGCGAGGCTCCTATTTCCTTATTTGAAGAAGACTCGTCCGTAAACGTAGTGCCTTCAGTGAAAGCGAAGTAAGACAACTTGCCTTTTATACGTGAATCTAATGTGTCTCTGTTGCTTCCTTTCTTCGAGGTATTCACAGAAGATCCAGTTTGTTTTGAAAAGTTGTTAACCGAGAACCCGTTGGGAGGTTGTGGCAGTGTCTTCAGAACCGGTCTCTCCTGAGACGACACGTATAATGCACAATCCTGCTTTTCGCCCACAGTGGGTGCTGATACGGTCTCTGTTGTGGATTGGTCATTTGCTCCATGCTCTTTAGCAGGAAAAGCATCAGCAAAACAGTCATTTGACCCAGTCGATTGGAGGGTGTTTACAGGGGCCAATTTACTGATACAAGGGAATTCAGTGGGCATGAAACTGTCGACATCAAGGTCAAAGAAGTTCTCGGTTTTTCTAAAGCTCTTGTCCGCTACATTCAGTTTATCACAGGGCTCGACACTACCAATAGAGAATAAAGCACCACCAGACAGTACTTCGGATTTGGGGGACCGCTGTTTGCTTGTGCCTTGACCATTCACCTGAGTGGACATACATATGGGTTGGAATTCCGGCTTCGTAGAAGAGACAGAGCCAAACCACTCAGAGTCGATGTCTAGAGGATCTAGGTTGAGTTGTGCGAAGACAACATCAAGGACTTCTTCGAAGCCATGTTCCACATTGTGGCGTTTGACCGTCTCCTCAGGGCTCAAACAACATCCACTCACTTCAATAGCCGAGGCGCTGCGACCGAAAGTTGATTGGAAGGAGCTATCCATTAGCCAGATCACCACGACAGCATCCTACGAAGACACAGAGCCCACTTTGATGAAAGCTCGGGTTATCCAAGGCACCTAACATGAAATACGCATCTCCATACATACGGGACATTGGCTAACCATCGGTTCTAATTCCGCACCAATAAGGACAAGGCCATTGCCTAAGGGACCACACGGAACGGAAGGTATAAAGGCTCCATTTCGTTTGCAACAATGACAAAGTGAATTTCCGAGGTGATTGCATTTATCAAACTATGCATATCCACTATCCAAGTAAGTAAGCAAGTAGTGATGCATCACAAAGATTCCAATGAAAATGTGATGCTTAATTATCCTAGCTCAAGCAAGAATAGGGAAGTTAGGTGCTCTTGATTAAGATGGTCACCTTCGAACTAATGGCACAGATCAAGCTTCTGGCTTGAGCCCAGGCAGCATAACTCTCGTAAATGCAGGTTTGATAAAGAAGAGATAGTACTCGGGTGTACTGAACAACAAAATTGTAAGAATGTGAAATGATTACCTCAACAACAGCGACACAGCGAGCCATTAAACGGGCATGAGCTTGAGTCAGACGGACGAGGCTTTCAAGAAGACGCAGAGTCGTCCTGCCGGCTACTGCTTGGTTCTCTTCCTTCCCATGCATTAGCTGTAGTGTGCGCCTGCGCAGTTCGTAGTAACGTTGAAGCAGGGTCGCCGCACCGCTCGAAAGCCGAGGTTGGAATTCTCCCCGAACCCAGGATATGTAATTTTGCAACTCTTCGGTTGTCCAAGTTATTCGCCTCTGGAAGGCAGAAAAATAATCTGGGTACATTCCAAAGAGGATGCTAATGAAAGCTTTAACTAAGAAAGTATTTTACTACAAGTTTGCTCTTTGAGATGTCATTCCTGTCTTCACCTGCTGCCTTAAAGCCAAGCACATGATCAGCAACAGCAGAGTCCCAAGCCTCGCAGCCAACGGGATCAAGAAGGCGCCAAACGAGGTCAAATCGCGACAGCAAAGGAGTAGGCAGGAGATTGGGGCTGTGTTCGGCGTCGGCAGGTAAGGAAGAGGCCGCGATGACGGCACAACGGCAGTTGAGTCGAGTTACGAGGCCCGCTTTGGCCAAGGAGACGGTCTGCTGCTCCATGGCCTCGTGCACAGCGGCACGGTCAGCCCCACGGAGACTGGTGAACTCATCAATTGCACAGACACCGCCATCAGCAAGCACCAGGGCGCCCGCCTCCAGCGCCCACCCTGAGGTATCTCGCACTGCTGCCGCCGTCAGTCCCGCAGCTGTGCTGCCCGTCGCCGCTGTAAAGATTGCTCGACCTGCCAGCCGGCAAGAAGCACGCAGCAACGCCGACTTAGCCGTGCTCGGCTCTCCAATCAACAGTAAATGAATGCTCCCACGCACCCGAAAATCCGTCCCGCCGTCCTTAATCATATCACCTACTTTCTCGCCTTCTGCTTCACCGTAATCTAACAAAGGAAGCTCCTTTTCTCAGGCTACTGCTAGGTAGAATAGTAAAAAAGATAGGTTTACGACACCAAATCCATTGACCTCTGAAAATGCCCAGTTTGTTTAAGATCAGTACCAATATGGTAAAAAGAAAACAACATTTAGCTGACAATGAAACGAATTAGTCAAATAAAGCGAACACTACGGCGTTCATCTGAAAATGCACCTAACTCACCAGACTTGTCCAAGCACGGCGGTGCTCCAACAAGAACAAGAGCCAAGGACAACTTTACAAAGTAGAGACCGTAAACATCTGGACATATGCTTTTTACGATTTCGTCACGAAGGCGCAAAGCTGCCCCGAAATCCCCCTTATGTTTTGCCAGTGACCAGTAATTGCTGAAACGCCTACACATCTCCTGAGTAAAATTGTCTCCACCCAACTCTCCATGGAAACGCATTTCAGATAGGTTTTCAATCGAATTAGCACGAAATACAGTCTCTATGTCACAGAGTGACCCAACTTTTGGAGGTCGCCACCGGTGAGTAAGGATACCATTCATAATTATGTCGTCTCCAGGTCGAACAGTGTCAACTAATTCGCCATCAAGGCAACAAACCATGGACCTGGGCATTCTCCCGACAGCTAAGTAACTGAGTCTTTCATTAACACGGATCTCTTGAAAGCTGTGAAGCGGTGACGAGCCACCCTTGACAACCACATTGAATGACGTTGAGTTACACTTCACAGCAAAATTAGGGCAGCGTCGTGGTGGAGATATTGTATAGAACTGGTTAAAATCAGCTTCAGCCTTAACTGTGTGCCCGCATTTCGAGCAAGAGTAGGACCTCTCCAATTCCACAACTTGGATTGCACCAACACGAGTAACAGTGCACTGCAAAGCAAGGAAGCGTCCAAAGTCGTCCGATTTTGGCATAACATGACGGAAGACCTCTGATATGGGAGGCAGAGAAACAACGCGCACTGTACATCTTGGGGAGAATTTGCTATTGCCAGTATGATCCGCAATAATGCAACTCAGTGTATCATTGAATGTAGACAAAGTGTCCATAGGTGCAGACAAAAGATGTCGAGAGAGAATACTACTGAACTCACAGAGGCTAGAAAAATTAACAACCAAGGAAAAGGCACATTGTTCTCCTCTCCCAGTATCACTTGATTGAAGGCGACTCCCAATGACATCACCATAATCCTTATTCACGAATTCCGTAAATAATAAAGCAATACGTGATTTGTCCACAGTCTGGAAATTTTCCATTCCAAATAAACAGGATAAATATTGACTATCTTATATGAAGATTGAACACGCGGTACCCCGTATATCGCCCAAATTCAAATACAGGTACAGGCAACACTTGCAAAGGCCACAAACTCCCACTCTCCAAATAAAGGGGTTACCCAAGCATTTAAACAAGCTTGCACAAAACTTTACTAGCCACGTGAATTTTATATTTTAGACGTCAGCAGAAGATAGGATGGTGGATTATTAATAGCCATGATAAGCATATTGGAACATTAATTAGAGCAAGTTATTTCTTATTGCGTGGAGAGTGCACTTTTGGCGTCGTTCAACAATTAAGAAGAAGTATCGAACCTCTTTTTAATGCACTTGCTTCACCTTTGTGGTTCATTTTAAGAGGTAAACTTTTTATTTCGCAACAAGCTCATTAACCAGATCTAATGCTGCCTTATATCGTTCATTGCTCGCTTGAGTAGTACTCCCATAACCCTCCTTCAGCCGATATTCCAAAGGCTGTATAATGCTGCATTCCCAAGATTCCACCATTACTTTAGTGATGTCGCA